GCGAATCGAGCCCCGGATCTTAGCGTTGTAAGTACATAAACTTGTCGCTGACCCACAAGGGGTCGGCTTGAATGAAAGTTAAAAAGCACAAGGCTAAACAGCAGACTATCTGCGCTATGGCCGCCGCGGCGAATCGAGCCCCGGATCTTAGCGTTGTAAGTACATAAACTTGTCGCTGACCCACAAGGGGTCGGCTTGAATGAAAGTTAAAAAGCACAAGGCTAAGCAGCAGACTATCTGCGCTATGGTCGCCGCGGCGAATCGAGCCCCGGATCTTAGCGTTGTAAGTACGTAAACTTGTCGCTGACCCACAAGGGGTCGGCTTGAATGAAAGTTAAAAAGCACAAGGCTAAACAGCAGACTATCTGCGCTCAGGCCTCCGCGGCGAATCGAGCCTCGGATCTTAGCGTTGTAAGTACGTAAACTTGTCGCTGACCCACAAGGGGTCAGCTTGAATGACTAAGTAAATCTTCTTCATTACAATTTTTTTTTGCAGTAAATTTTTGTATAAATCACTCACCTTCATCGACAGTCATCATAATTTTCTTATCCAAAAACTGCAGGGGCTAATGAACAAAAAACCTGAAAGAAAAACATCAAAAAAATTTTAATTGTAATAAGTGTATAAATAAACACAACGAATTCGGTTGTGTGCGTATGTACATATACGTATAAACCAAGTAATATTCCAGTATTGTACGAAAACACTCACAGTAGACAGACTAATAAGAAATGCAATTCACTAATGAAATCTCACATGTTACAGGAAAATTAGATGAAAGTTTTAAACGAGCATCGGAGGAGTTAACTAATCTCGGTAGAAGAAAGACAGAGAATGGTAATGATGACTCTGCGCATGCTCATAATTTTTTTTTGTTCGTTCACGCTATAAATTATTAACGTCTTTATTGTGTTGAAACATTGTACTAGAACAGAACAATATAAGACTTTATACGTTCCATTGCTGGTTTAATTCAGTGTTGTAATCAGCGCGTCCATTTTTAGTTTTTTGTAATTCGCACAGAATCATGGGATTATTCAAATTACCTACGATTCAAGAATAACCAGAATATTGATTCTGCTCTACAAATCTCTTCCAAAACCTATGGTGTTCGTGAGTGTAATGAAATTAACACTGCAGTTTTTTCGCGGGGGTGGGGGGATAAGTCCCCCGACCCTAGGATACATAATCTTTCTAGTCGTAAAATGATAAGTATGTTAGTAAGAGGTCCGTCCTCCCCGATTTCAAATTGGAAACAGTTTGCTCCCTTTCCTTCCAAACACGCACACATTCGTTACAGATTGACAAGAATCGATTTATCAAATCATATAATGCAAAGCAACATTTTGCAGCGCCACCTCGAGGAAGAATAGTATCCAGAAAATTAACAGTGTGAGAAATAGTACCATGATTGGTTTTTCATTTACCGTATTTTTCGGTGTATAAAACGCACTTTTTTACCCCAAAATTTGATGCCAAAATCTGCTTGCGTCCTATACACCGAAGGTATGAATAATATATTTATGTATATATACGATATACACAAGCCATGTGTAAATATATTTAAATAGGCATGCATAGTTTAGTTCAATTGAATGTTATTTATAACAATAGTTAGTTTTTTTTCTTTTAAAAACATAACTATTTATAATGCTCCCTTAATAATAAAAAATAAAGTACAGTGAAAGCAATGAAG